GTTGATCACGTGACTCCTGGGATGTGAAAAAACTGTTTCCATTGCAGTTTTGTGAAAAACACCAATTTAGATAAAAAACACCTCATCCTAGAGCAAAAACATTTTGTCTAAAAACGTAATTTTTTTCTAAATTGACGTGTTTCCATTGAGCAAATTTGTTTTATAAATTCTAATTTGCGTATTTTCATGGTGAATGGAAACACAGCTACTGAGCACCAGGGGCGGAGTCAGAGGGGTGGCACCTGATTGGCCATCCCAAATAATTGACAAGTGGGTGGGGATCCCCTGGGGCATCAAATATCTGGTGTAGAGGAAACTTAGTTTTTGAAGAAAACCACATTTTTTCTGAACCACAGAATTAAATAAAGCAACAATTATTAACTTTATTAGTAAATAGTTTTGTGTTAAAGAACCAGAAAGTGAAAACTGTAACAAACACAGCTGAATATGTTCCTTAAGAAGCTTTGATGGGCACAAGTGGCCGCCATGTCAAATTTATGGTTTGACTGTACTTTATGTTGGAGCTGCCACCACACCTAATTTCAGCCATGTATGATTAAAAATAGCTGTTATAGCTCTTTGTAATGTTGCATTAGCTTAAATTGGGAATAGCATTTTAGCTGTGGTGGAACTCTTCAATATTTGATTAGCAGTTATAATTTAGTTAATATTGTTTTTTTGGCTACTGCTGCAATAATTTTAAGGTTTATCTGAAATTGGCAGAATTTTTAAAAAGTGGGATTAGCATTAGCTTAAATTGGGGTTAGCAGTTGGCATGTGTTTAAAACGGCTGAATTAGAATCTGTTACAGCGGCGGTGGCCATTTTTAATTTTCAAATCCAGAGGAGATTTCTTTCATTGTATGGTCCCCACTAAAGCGCACCGTGGCCACCCCAGTGCCACCTGTTGGACAGACGTCCAGCTCCGCCACTGGTGAGCTCACCATCTCAGCTCTGCTTCACTCACAACTTCACCCCAATGGATAATTATATTTAAAGTTATATAGTAGGGGGTCCTTGCTCTTGTCTCTCCAGGCTGAAAAGTGTTGAAGACCCCTAATCTAAAGTACTCCTCTCAGTTTAAGTACTCTAAGAACTTAGTACAGTCTAAGTATCAGGTACATACTGGGCTGTTGTGTGTATTTCTTCCCAAAATGTCGCCTGATGTTTGTTTGTTTCTTTCGGTCATTGTCTCCTGTCGTCACACAGCGTGTTGTGGTTTACAGAACATGTAACAAGCAGCTAAACACTCGTTTATTTTCCCTTCTGTTGAGGACTGCAGTGACTCTCCCAGCAGCTTCTTTTAAATGCTGTACATAAAGAGACATTTGAAGACTTTCTCACTGAGATATTAACTTTTACTGCACTGTCGTTGCTTATATAGTTAGTGATGAATAAAAACTAGTATTTAATGTTCTTTAATGTCTTCAGACACTAAAGTCCTGGTGGTGTGACGCTCCTCTGTGTGTAAATACAGACAGACAGTGGGTGGGACGGTTAGGGTTAGGGTTCCTCTCACTGATTTATGAAACTGTTGCATGATGTCTTTTTCCAGAGGACAACAGAAGCACTTATTGTCCCACTCCTTGTACAGATGGACAGATGTTACACCTGCACAGCTGGAACCCTGCTGCTTTTTGCCACGCCCTCATCGGCACAAAAATGTGTTGAATAATATCATCTGATGAAACCTGAAAATACAGGTTCAGAAATTATTTTAATTGAGTTTAAAGTCATCAATGTGGGCTGCTGTTTGTAAAGTTACACAGTCAAAAATTACCACCAAGATTTTTGTTTTATTTATCCTTTTATAAGAAAAAAAGAACAGATTTATTTTTCAAAGTCAGTTTTTCACCATATGATTCATACATTTATAAATGTCATAGTTTATAAACTAAATATTTAACTTACAAATTAAATATTTAGTTTACAAGCTAAATATTTAGCTTGT